AAGACTTTTTGTTATTTGAGTTGCTGCCTTCAGTTTCATAGAAAAAAGTTACATGAATTTTTATTTAGGATTAGGCAGAATTTCCACCAATTTCCGAAATGATCTTAATATACTTCTGCTGTTTTGTGCTATATATTTATGTGAAACAGCATTCTCTATATTAACAAAAAAATTAATATTGACCTGAAAATTGTTGAAGATTCTGTGTCCATAAGTGTCAAATATTCACCCAAGATTTATATTAAAAGAAGTATATCCATTTCATTAGTATGAAAATTAATTTCATCTTTATTATTAGAAATGGTTAATTATATGTAAATCAAAGAACTGTTTTAAGGTAAGTTTATGATTTATTATCAGTAAATATTTGATTTTTCTATGCATCCAGGGCCATGTAAAATATTCTAAGGTAAAAAGAGGACACTGTTAGGGGCTCTCTGCTGATGCAAAAATCCCAATCAAGCCAAATCCAAACAAAGCAAATGAAAAGATAGCCAGGTTTAATTGGACTCCTGCACTTTCAGGTGACCCCAAGGGGAACGGAAAAGCCACCAACCAGGGGCAGAGAAAGAGGGAAAACACGTGTTTATTTTTGGGGGAGCAGTTTAAATAGTTTGGGGATGTAGTCTTGACCTTTTTTGGTGAAGGGTCAAGGTTTGGTGGGCTACCCTGACCCTCCTCGGGGAGGAGTCAGGGTGCAAGGGGCACAGGAGTGGGGCCTCCAAAGATGGAGGCCGGAGACTGGGACTTACTTTCCAGACTGTTTGTACAAGGGGTGACAGGAAGCTGAGGTGATATTTATGACCAACATTTAGGCCCTCTTTGGATAAAGGGACATCCACTCAAGTCTGGCTATTTCCTGCGGGCATGGGGTGATGTCGAGGAGGGGAGAGCTGGGTGTTGGGGGGTCCACACTCAGCGAGAGGTGTGGCTGAAAAGGCATCCTGTTTACTGTCATTCCGGAGATGCCAGGCATCTGTTCCCTGGGGGAGGTAAGAAGGCAGGTGACTGGAGAAAAAAATATTGTTATTACCCATCTTGTTTGTATCATCAAAGATGAGTGTGCCAGAATGAGGAGCAGGTAGGCCCTTCATTGTGGCGTCCTGGAAAACCGGAGGGTGGAAGGTCCTGTCTGCTGGACAGACCAAGTGTCCTGAGTAGGTGCCCGTTTGAGCCTGGAGTGATGGTACCAGCATGGGTGTCCCAAGAGCTTGGCAGCTGAGGGGGGTGGTGAGGATTACCATGTGAGGTCCTGTCCATCGAGGTTGGAAAGACCTGGGAGTTAGTTGTTTGAGGAGTACTCTGTCCCCTGGGGAGAGCAGGGCAGGTTCAGGGGCATTAGGGTCCACTAGTGTGGGGGCAGGGAGACAACTGTCCACGTGTGAATGGAGAAGGGACCTTAAAAGGGAGAGGTAGGGTAGGTATACTGCCAGTGGAGGAGTTTGAACTGGGAGGTGATGGTTAAGGAGAAAGGGCCTGTCATAAAGCAAGTCAACAGGAGTCAGACTCCTAGGGGAATGTGGGGAGGCCCTGAGGCAAGTAAGGGCAATGAGGAGAAGGAGGGCCAAGATAACCTGAGTTCAATGGAGAGCTTGGTTAGTTGTTGTTTGATGAGTCCATTAGTCCTCTCTTCCATTCCCGAGGATTGTAGATGATAGGGGGTGTGGAAATATAGGAGATGTTGAGAGCTTCTAACACAAGCTTCATGACCCTGGAAGTGAAGGCTGGCCCATTGTTAGTCTGGATGGTCTGTGGGACGCCAAGCCGAGGAATGATGTGGTCCAGGAGTACCTGAGCCACCACATCTGCTGTTTCCCTGGAGGCTGAAAATGCTTCTATCCATCCTATAAAAGTGTCCACACGTGTTAAGAGATAACAGAGTTTTTTATGAGTAAACATATGAGTGAAATCAACCTGCCAATCTTCGCCTAGTTGGCATCTGCAAAGCTGGTGTAGAGACTGACATATGTGGAGAGCCCCCTGTGGGTTGGCCTGGGCACGTCTGGTAGGAGGAGAGAACCTGTGAAATAGACTCTCAGAGATGGGTGAGGTCAGAAAGGGGCTCCAAGAAGCAAAACAAAGCTTTGGGGGCTATGTGTAAGATCTGGTGGATGTCTGAAATGATCGACAATGCCCGGTCTTGAGGAAGGATGAGACGGTTATTTAAATAGAACCATCCATCCTTTGTTTTTGTGGCCCCCCTTTTTATAAGCTCGTCCCTCTCTTTAGGTTGGTAACAGAGCTGATAGGAGGGAGTCAAGAACAAAATATATTATGTGGAATCTGAGGAGCTGGAGGCCAGCCCCCGGGCCACTGAGTCAGCCTTGGCATTGCCTAAGGCCACTGGGTCCAACAGTGAATAATGGCTACTTCTGCAGGGAGCTGGAGGGCCTCCAAAAGTTTGGCTTTGTTAACTATGGGATCTGTTAAGTATGGGAGTGCCCTTGGTAGTAAGGAAGCCCCTTTCCTTCCAGACTGCAGAATAAGTATGGGCTGTTGAGAAGGCATATTTAGAGTCAATGTAGGTATTAGCCCGTCGGCCCTTGGCTATTTGGAGTGCCCTAGTCAAGGCAATTAATTTGGCCTTTTGTGAGGAAGTTCCCATTGGCAGGTGGGTCGCTTTGTCAGTGGAAGTGACCACTGCATACACTGCCTGTCGGTTTCCTGATTTATGTATAAGGGAACTTCCGTCAACAAACAGGGTGAGTTGGTGATCTGTAAGTGGCTGGTCTAGAAGACCTGGCCTGGTGAGTTTAAAGCCTCTACAGCCTCTGAGCAAGAATGAGAGGAGGTACCAGAGGGGAGGGAACAGGAAGAAGAGTTGTGGGGTTTATGGCAGGACTGGAAGCCAAAGTAAGTGAAAAGCCTGGACTCATGAAGGTCCAAGGAGAGAGAGGAGTGGATCTCAGAAGGTCTGAGAGGCGGTGGGTAGAATATACTGTGATTGGCCCAGACAAGGCCATCTTGAGAGCTTCCCGAGTGAGTTCAGCTGCTGCTGCCAGGGCATAGTTGCCATCCACAGACAGTGAGGTCCAGCTGTTTGGATAAAAAGGCAACAGCCAGATTTAAAGGCCCAGCCTGTTGGGTTAGAACTCCCATGGCCACTCCTGACCTCTCATCTGTATGGCAAAGCTTTCTGGGGTTTGGAAGAGCAAGAGCAGGGGCTGAGCCCCTGTGGTTGGAGGCTGTAAATTCTGCAGTTCCTGGACCCTGGCAGAGGTGAGAGTTTTAGAGCCTGGGCTGAGTTGAGCACCCAGATATTCCACTGTAGGAGAGCACAGCCGAGCCTTATTTGGTGAGCACCCAGATATTCCACTGTAGGAGAGCACAGCTGAGCCTTATTTGGTGAGCACCCAGATATTCCACTGTAGGAGAGCACAGCCGAGCCTTATTTGGTGAGCACCCAGATATTCCACTGTAGGAGAGCACAGTCGAGCCTTATTTGGTGAGCACCCAGATATTCCACTGTAGGAGAGCACAGCCGAGCCTTATTTGGTGAACACCCAGATATTCCACTGTAGGAGAGCACAGCCGAGCCTTATTTGGTGAACACCCAGATATTCCACTGTAGGAGAGCACAGCCGAGCCTTTTTTGGTGAAACTCGATATTCTAGGGATCTGAGGAAGTTCCAGAGTTCAGAGGTGACCTTTGGGACAGAGACAATGTAGGACTGCAGAGAAGTAGGTCATCCACATACTGGAGGAGCGTGCTAGAAAATGTGTCAAAGTTTGAGAGATCTCGAGCCAGACTTGGCCAAATAAATGGGACTGTCTTGAAAACCCTGAGGGAGAACAGTCCATGTAAGCTGTCTGGAGGACCGGCAGTCAGGGTCCTCCCAGGTGAAGGCAAAGAGGAAGTATGAGTCAGGGTGTAAAGGGACAGTAAAGAAGGCACTTCTTAGGTCTAGAACTGTAAAGTCAGAGGTGGTAGGAGGGATGTTAGACAGGAGATTGTATGAGTTGTTAACCAGAGGGTGAACTGGAATGACTGCCCAAGGGCTTATGCACAGGAAGAATTGGAGTGTTGCAATGTGAGTTGTTAGGCAACCAAGTAAAGGTGCTAGGCAAGCAGGTATCACTAAGAAAGAATTTGAGAAAAATTGTCCTGCAAGAATGCAGGGCAGTGGCAAAGTTTTAAGTGGGGAGGAATGGGTCCTATCTACCCCATAACTGAAATTGATGAGGTGAACGTAAGGCTTAAGTGAGATGTTATATGTAGCTTCTGTGTCTAAAAGAAAAGTAATGGACTTACCCGCTACCTGCAGCTTTATCCTAGACTCGGACAGGGTTACAGGATATACCAAGTCTGGGCAGTGTCAATCCTCTGCAAGGCTGAGAAGTTCGAAGGCTGGCATAGTTTCAGTTGTCGATGTTGGTGAGGCTGGACCTTTGTGGCGTGACATCGAGGACAAGCCCGCACAAGGGCATTGTGATTTCCAGTGTCCAGGTTACTGGCAGATAGGGCATGGCCTTGTAGGAGGTTTAGTGCAGTATTGGGCCATATGGCCATTTAGGCCACACTTGGAACAGCTTGCCTGTGAGATTGACTTAGGCTAGAGCCCTGTGGTTGGCTTCCCTTGTCCCCCTTTTTGTGATCTTAGGGCAGCTGCTAAGGCTTGAGCCTGCAAATTAACTGCTTATTGTAGCCTTGTCTGTCGGAAAGACTCAGCTGTTTCATCTTGGGCGTTAAAAACTTTAAAGGCCATTTTCACCAATTCCTGTATAGGTGTTTTGGGACTCTCTTCAGCCTTTCTTATTTTTTTTCTAATATCTGGTGCTGACTGAGAAATAAAATGGGTAGCCAGGACCATGGCTCCTGCTGGGGAGGCTGGATCTAGCCTGGTATATTGGGCCATGGTAGTAGACACTTGGATGGCTTAGTAGCCTGGTTAGATCATAGGCCTGGGACAAATAATGAAACTCTTTAATATAAACAGAAAAATTAGTAGAAAAGGAACCCAGCCACTTCTCTGAGAGAGATCTGGAAGAGAAAAGGGAACATGGACTTTCATAATGCCATTGACTACTGCCATTTTCCAGAGAGGGCAGAGACTGGTGGAGCTATGGTGGGATCTGGTATAGAAGGAGACTGGGGAGGATTGGGAGGGGCTAGCCCAGTGCACCGAGGGGGTCCAAGGGTGGGGAGATGTGGTAGGAGTGGGGAGGGAGGGAGAAAGGTGGGTAAGGGGGAAGTTGACCTAGAACTCCAGTTTGGCTAGGGAGAGGGGGTAGGTGAGGACAGGGAAGGAGAGGAATGTGAAGAATGTTGCTTCACAGGACTGGGTTAGGTAGTGAAGATTTGAGAGAGTGGGGGAGGGGCCAGTGCCTCTGGCTGCATAGTCCAGCTAGAATTATTGGGGTGCTAATTACCAGATGACAGGGAATTTGGAGGCATCACGATCCTAGCGACCAAGACCCATGTTGCGAGGCACTGGCTACTGAGGGAAGCTCTGTCCACTTATCCCCACAGTGACAACTATTTTCTAGGCTTTGGAGGGACGGTAAGCTCAAGGCTTTTCTCTGGTGACCAATGCATCCCATTGTCAAGATGGTATTGAGGTCAAATCTTAGTCCATAGGGAAATTAGTTGTTTAGTACATATTGTATCGAACAAGCCCAATTTTAAAAGATTTTGTAAGAGGCATCCCAGAGATGTATAGGGTTTGAGAGTGAGCAAGTGAACAGATTCCTTTACCTACCTATTTTTATCTGTGAGTTGGTTAGAATAAAGCAATTTTACTTAAATAGAAAAAAAAGAAAGAATAACTCTAAAACTTGTAAAAGATAACCTGCATTAGAAAAGTTTGTCTCAGGTTAGACAAGCCCATCTTAAACTGAAACAGTAGGCAGAGTTGGCCTTCTTGACCAGAGAACACTGATCCTGTAGAAATGGAGAAGGTAGGCTGCATAGCACCAGGGGAGAATGCGGGGTTCCCTGAGCTCATCAAGCAAATGGAACAGAAAGACAGAAGTAGTGGACTGTAGCTGACTGCCATCTTCCCCTGTTTGTTTCTTCAGTGATGAGGTGAGAATGTGTTCCTCACTCATGAAAATGAGGACTAAATATTCTCATTTTGTTCTTGTTCACTTTAAATAATTTTTCTTAGTCACCTATAATCATGACTACTCTCTCTATCAGAAGAGAAAGCTGGCCATTAGGACAGTCCCTCTTTCCAGCCTTATGAGGTCTCTCTGCTTTGGTTGTTAGAAGTCACTCTGATTTCATTGGCAGAAAGTTGTGTTGACTCTGAGCTTTCTGAAATGGGTGAGAACCTCACCAATGCAAACTCTAAGTAGCAGCCTCACCAGGGAACTTGTTAGAAATGCAGAACATCAAGCCTGGGCAGCAGCTACTTATTCTATAGTTAAAATCAATCCCTAGGCCGGGCGGTGGTGGCGCACGCCTTTAATCCCAGCACTCGGGAGGCAGAGGCAGGCGGATCTCTGTGAGTTCGAGGCCAGCCTGGTCTACAAGAGCTAGTTCCAGGACAGGAACCAAAAGCTACGGAGAAACCCTGTCTCGAAAAATCAAAAAAAAAAAAAATCAATCCCTAGGTAATTCCTGTGTACATTAAACTCGGAGAAGCACTGACTTAGAACAAGTCATTAAGTAAAGTAACTTAAAACCTTTGCTAAACCCTGAGCTCAATATTTCCCAGTTTCCCAAGACAAATTATGCATGGCCACTCACTTCACTGTAACACACCAGCTTTAGAAGATAAAATTAAGCATTAGTAAAACACAAGATAAGCTTAAGTGATGACTATTGAAATATCATTAATGCTTTCTTTAAATATGGTTAACCATCTCATATCAATATTTGAATTTAAGCTGTCTCCATTTATGGTACTCAAAAGAAATGATGGTCATCAAAAATTGAATCCCCATATTCAGCTATGAAAGTACAAAATGCATAGTTCTTGTAAATAAAAGTAAAATTCAATAAAAAGTAAAATGAAAAAAAAAGAGGCATCCCAGGGGCGACAGTTTATCTGGCTTTGAACTGCAAGCGCCATTTTAAAGTCTATGCCCAACTGCGTGGCCTAAGTCATTACAGCGCTACTGCCAAAACAGCTCTTTGACAAAAATGGGCCGTGAAAATTGAATGCTAGGCCTATCTAACTAAAACAAACAAAATTCACCTCAGCTAAGCCTGGCTCAACCGCTGGGATTAGGCCCTTGGTGCAGCCCGTGTCTTTAGCAAGGGCCTGGTAATCCACAAAATGTAAACAGGAACTGTTTCCCCAAAACCCTATATCATGGACAAGAAAAAAGACTCATTCGCATTAGCTGTAGTCCAGGAGCTGGTTTTAGCCTGGTGTGAAGAGCTTGGGTTGTGGACAAGGTTGCTTTTGATGTGTGGCCGTAGGCCGTAGGAAGGGCCGCCCTACCTGGTGGGACCTCCAGATGTTAGGAATATTTTCAAACAGGAATATTTCCAATCAAGCCAAATCAAAACAAACCAAATTAAAAGATATCCACTACTGGACTCTTGGGTGGCCCTGAGGGGAAGCAGAAAGCCACCAATTTGACCATGGGGGATGAGGAGAGGGAAAAACCATGTGTTTACTTTTTGGGGAGCAGTTTAAATAGCTTGGGGGAGTGGTCTTGATCTTTTCTGGGGAGGGGTCAAGGTTTGGCAGGCAACCTTGACCCTCCTTGGGAAGGGGTCAAGGGTCAAGGGGCACAGGGGCGGGGCCTCCAAAGATGGAGGCCAGAGACCAGAATTTACAGACACAAATGGAAAAGTTTAAGATGCCCTGGTTATAGTGTCCCTTATGATGTTTATTATTTTCCTATAGTAAAATTGTATGAGAGTGGAGAGGTAGCTTAGCAGACAAGAGCACTTGCTGCTCTAAAGATCCTAGTTCAGTTCTGGGCACCTATATAGCATGGCTCACAGTCGTCTGTAACTCCAGCCACAGAGGATCCATGGGTACCAGCACGCGCATGTGCGCGCACACACACACACACACACACACACACACACACACACACACTCAGAGAGAGAGAGAGAGAGAGAGAGAGAGAGAGAGAGAGATTGTAAATCTTTTTTAAAAACTTAGAAACATACTTAGGTTTTTTTTCATAGAAAGGCTATCTGCCACTTTTCCACTCAGTCATGTAGCATTTTGAAATTTTTCTATCATTGCCATTAGTTAGCAATTACTCAGAGAAACAACTATCAGCAAATGCCCCCTTTCTCCCATATTTGTCTGTCCAGTTTCTCCTTATGTATATTTCTCATCCACAGAAGGGCATATTTAACTGGACCATTTCCATATCCATTCGTAAGCATTCCTCAGATACCATGGCAACTATTTTTTAAAATGATTTTTGATAGTGTAATGTTGGAAGACATTGCTGGTTGGTCAGAGGTCACAGCCTCCCTATGGCCTAGCAGCTTATCTCAATAAGCTCAGCAACAGGGAGCTCCCTCCCTCCAGCAGCACTTCCTGCCTCTACCTGCCCTTATCTGGAGAATGTCCCTGGACTTGGAGGACTGACCTATCTAAAAGCTGTTCCTAAAGCATCTGCCTGATTTATATTTAGCTTGATCCTTGACACAGATGCCTGCTAAGAAGATTTGCTCCAGGAGCTCTGCCAAATACTGAACCCTGTGATAGGAGCGGACCACCTAATGCAAATTAGGGTTTTCCCCCAGACTCCTCAGTCCTATATATTCCTATATACTCTAGAATAAAATTGAGCTGATTTACTGAAATCTGTCTTCTGGAGGGCTGTCTTTGGCCGTGCTCTTGGGCTGTAGACAAATCTTTCTGCCTCTTTCCCCTCTTGACCTGGTGACCAACAGGCTGAGAGGGAAAGAGAATCCCCACAATGGAATATATATATATATATATATTTCTTACCATTGGCCATGTACAATTTTGTCCTGCAAGGATCTAGACTACAGTAAGGTAATTAACTCTTGAAAGGTACTTGGAAGTACCTTCATTTATTAAAATAAAATGCCAAAGAGATTTTATGCTAATATTGGTTCCATCTACCCACAAACATGACTAGAACTTTTTACTTTAGGAATTCAGTTTTTTCCTTTGGTGTTTGCTTAATTTCTGCTAGAATATTGCTTCTCAATATATCTCTACATGTGTGGTTCTGGGCATTAAACTCAGTACCCTGTGTATGCTACACAAATCCTCTACCATTGAGCTGTATCTTTGAAGCTATGGTAGTGTGTGGTTCTCCACTGTGAGTTCTAGCTCTGGGAAAGTTGTAGTTGTATGAGCCCATGCATTTTTTTCATTTTTCTTCTTATTATTATTACAAATTTTCATCTCCTTCCCTCCTCCCATTTCCCTCCCCCTCCCCCCATTCCCTCTTCCTCTCCAGTCCAAGGAGGAGTCAGGGTTCCCTGTCCCATGGGAAGTCCAAGGACCACCCACCTCCATCCAGGTCTAGGAAGGTGAGCATCCAAACAGACTAGGTTCCCACAAAGCCAGTACATGAAGTAGGATCAAAACCCAGTGCCTTTCCTTGGCTTCTCAGTCAGCTTTCCTTGTCAGCCACGTTCAGAGAGTCTGGTTTGATCCCATGCTTATTCAGTCCCAGTCCAGCTGGCCTTGGTGAGCTCCCATTAGATCAGCCCCACCGTCTCAGTGGGTGGGTGCACCCCTCACAGTCGTGACTTCCTTGCTCATATTCTCCCTCCTTCTGCTCCTCATTTGGATCCTAGGAGCTCAGTCCAGTGCTCCAATGTGAGTCTCTATCTCTATCTCCATCCATCGCCAGATGAAGGTTCTATGGTGATATGCAAGATATTCATCAGAGTGAGCCCATGCATGTTGAGAGCAATTGTCTCACTTGTGCAAGGCTCTGAGGTCAATCTTAAGCACTGCAAAACACAACAGTTACAATTTTAAAACTAGCATTTCCTCCATCTCTCATTATCCCTTTCCCTAATCAGCATTCTCTGGTTTGTTCTAGGATGGCCTGGATTCTGCTGGAGGAAGCCGGACAAAGCAGGAGAGTGCATGGATATTCAGGCTGTGGTATAGCTTTGATCACAAGTATCCTTTAGCCTTCTCCTGGGCTCAGGAGACATTGGTGACAACATCCACTGTCTGAGCCACACATGGGGGCGCCATCTGTTGGGGTCCAGCCTTGACAGGGTTCACATATTCCAGGGTAGGGGTGTGTAGATTAGAAAAATTAGGTAAGAGGAACAGAGATATGAAAGAAATACAGAGACATAGGCTAGAACCAGGAGGGCTACCCAGTGAATACTGAATACGCCTGTGTTTATTTTCCCTGTGTTTATGTACCCCAATCCAAAAAGGGGGGGAAAGAAGACAAAAGACTGCTTTAACATGACACAAAGGACAAACAGAACAATCACCTGCTGCAATACTTGAGACATCAAGCCACTATTTCCTGAGTTAAGCATTCTGATGTTTTTTTGGCAGGACGTGCAGTGACAACACCTTACACCAAGTTCCCTGTAGGAAACCACTCCCTGTCTTATCCTTGAAGGAGCAGGAATAGGCTTGAATTCTCCGATGTTTGGTCAAGGTGGATAGGATTCAGCTCTATAGGCCGTCTTAATACCTGAAACACCCTAGGTCAGGATATCTTGTTTGTAGCCACTCCTTAAGACATGTGTAGGTTCAGTGTTAGAAGAAAGTTTTCCAAGGTAATACTATTTCACACATTCCTCGTGTTTGAATGTTCTAGTTGCTCCACATGCTCCACATGTGTTGTTGTTGTTGTTATTGTCAGTCTTTTGATTTTTCTTATTATATATTTTACTATGGCTTTAATTTGTATTTCTGTGACAGCTCATGGGATTGAGAACTCTCTTCACACATTTACTGGCCATTAACTATGTTCCTTTATGAAATGTTTGTACATTTCTTGCCCATTTGTCTATTGGGCTGTGTGCAATTTTCTTAATTGGTAAGAGTTTTTTATTTAGCTGAATTTGTACCTTCTGCTGGTTATATTTGATAAAAATACTTTTCCTCTTGTCTATTCACTTTCCAAATTAAGTCTTTTGAAGAACAGAAACTCTTAATCTGGTTGATTGATCCTGTTCTTGTTAGTGTCTTTTGTGTACTGCTTCAGAAATCATTGCATCTCAAAGTCATACACCCAGTGTCCTAAACTGTCTTTTTTGTGTATATGTCTTCTTTTCTCAGTGACAAACATGAGCAAAGACGACATCTAGAGATAACTTGAGTTGCTCTGGATGATGTTTCTCCTTCAGAGATGATTTAAGTATTTCAGTTTAGGACTGCTCCCAGTTAGCATCAGCTATAGGGATTCAAGATCATCTTAACCCAATCAACAAGAAAGGTTAAAGATGGATTCAATTCCTGTGAGTGTTAGTGTCTCTTTTTGCATTTTCATCTAGGGTTTCAACCTAAAGCTTGGGCTGTTCACATCTCTTTCCTCAGTACGCCCTCCAGTCTCTGTCATTCTCAGTCTGTTACATCTGAGTCTGCCTGATTCTCTCCTCAGCTTCTCGGGTGTCTGAGGGAACTGGGGCTCATGAAGTGTGGGGCTCACACATTTGGTGTTTTCTTCCGAGACTTTCTGAAGCCATCAGGCGAAGAGCTTTGCCTTGTTTCATTTTCTGTTGTGTAGGTTTTCTCGTTGGTCTAGTTAATATTTTCTATTAACTGAAACAGAACTCCTAGGGATTTCTTTAAAGTCATGTGAATTTTGTCTAAATGATAATTCAGAAAGCATGTTGTTCCTTAGGCTTGGAGAAGATAGAGAACATTGAAGAGCAGCTGCAGAAGGACAAATGCTAAAGTGATAATTGATTGTTTGAAGAGAAACAGAAATGAGTTCCAGAATCCCATCTAAGTAACATGAGAGTGTAGAAGGGAGTTGATTTGTACATGAATGACTCCTACTGATTTACAGGACCCCCTCCCCCACAAGCCTTAAAATGGGGTAGACAGGCTTCCAGTTTAAGATGTGTCCACATACTCTCCCAGGCCTTACAGAAATCACAAAAGAGGCATTTTTGGTCACATGAAAAGCCAAAGGAAGGTAGAAGGAATTAGGGCAGGCAAAATAGAGTCAAAGACAATCATGAGTTTCAGCTAGTTTGTTTAGCTGATTTATTCAAGACTGTTGTTGGGAATGCTGTAGCGGTTCCTTCTTGTCAATAGATTGCCTAATAGTTGTTAGTTTTCTTAGACATCTAGAGAAAGTAGAAACCCTTGACGGGGGTGGGGTGGGGTGGGGTGGGGTGGCAGTAGTAGGGAAACAGATCTTGAGGACAACAGATTTTTCTGCCCAGAATAATCTTCTCTGGTTTTGATTTTTAATACCGTAATAGGGGTTCCCATCCTACCTGATGAACCAAGATACTGAATAAATACATGAAGGAGTGGGGATGCTGAAATAATCAAACAACTGCAGATGTTTACTGTTAAAAAACCTTCAGCGAGGCATGATGATGTAAACCCATATAAAAGTTCCTGGCCAACACAGACTATATAATGAGTTATAAGCCAACCTGAGCTTCAAGGTGTGAGACCTTATCTTAGAAGTCAAAAAACAAATAAATAAACAAACAGAAACCACAAGAAACACTCAAAATATTTCCTGATAAAATGTTTAGAAAGGAATGGGAGCTTTTTTTTCCAGTCATGAAATAAGGGCAAGTTGTTAGAAAATAGTTCAAAAAGAAAAGAAAAAATCTTGGAAATTAAAAATTAGTTTTATAGCCAGCAGTGGTGGCGCATGCCTTTACTTCTAGTACTCGGGAGGCAGACGCAAGCTGATCTCTGTGAGTTTGAGGCCAGCCTGGTCTACAAGAGCTAGTTCCAGGACAGGCTCCAAAGCTATAGAGAAACCCTTTCTCGAAACACCAAAAAAATTAGTTTTATGGCTGGGTATGGTGATGCATGCTTATAATTTCAGCACGCGAGAAACAGAGGCAAGAGAGTCAGGATTTCAAGGCCAGCCTGGACTTCATAAGACCCTGTCTCACGTTTTTCAGAAAATAACCTCTCCCCCCCCCAATGTAATGAATGGTTGTACATAGCAAAGACCAAATTGTTGATTTGGAAAATAAAGTTGGAGAAAAAAACTTCAAGAAGTAGCAAAAGTTTAGAGACATATTGAGAGAAGAGTGTCAGCTCCGGATGGTTCACATCACTCAGCCTCCATGGGATTTACTTCTAACTCACATGAATTTTTCCGTGTTTTAATGACAGGTATGTGTCTAAAAGTATGTTCTCTAGTGAAAGTGTAAAATCCAGTGTGAAACTCTAAAGCTTTAGAATGGCTGTTCTAACCATACAGAAGTTCATTCTGATGAACTTCATTTAGGTGTGTAATATTTTTTTATTTGCAAGTTCTTTATAATAAAGTTTTAATTAAAATAGAGAATAATAAAATATATATGACATGATAGCAAAAACAGGGACTATTTGGGGGAGGTAGGGAACCAGGAAAAAATAGGATAGGAGGGATGGGGAAAAGGGACAAATAGGAACAAAGTAAAATGATATACATGCATGAAAATGCCACAGTGAAACACATTACTTTGTTTACTAACTTAAAATATAAACCCATTTTAAGAAACTATGTACACATTTGCATATGTGTTTTTAAAGGGCATTGTTCCAGGACTTCTCAACATGAATTAAAAAGGGCTAGTCTTTGAAGTGCCCAAAGCAGGAAACAGAAAGGAAGCTTCTGGCTTGACCCTTGACATGGTAGAGATTGAAGCTCTTGCCACCTTCCTAACTAAAGACAGGAGAGAAACGACTGCCCTGTAGTGGCCCACATCCATCCCGGAGCCTGCTCTTTAAAACCAGCAATCACACAGCAGCATGTTTTGTCTGCAGAGAACTCCAGCAGAACCCTTGTTTCTGTCTTTTAGCAGAGAGTTTTTCTATTATTTAAGAGTTAAATAATTCACAACTAGAAGCATACATTGGTTTCTTCTCCATAAAGCAACCAAATTAGGTAAGGAATATGTACTCTAATGAGTCCAGTGTTCTTTTTGCTTGCTTGTTTGTTTGCTGGCTGGCTTTGGATTGATTGTTCGGAGGCTTTATTATTTGAGACAAGCTCATAGTGTTGCCCAGGTCGCCATTAAACTCTTTATCTTCCTGCCTCAGCCTCCCAGATGCTGGGATTCCAGATGTGTACCATTGTGCTTGACTGAATTTATTCACTATTCTTCTAACTGACTATTAGATATCATTACCCTAAGTACCCACGTGCACTTAGACACCATGGAGACATCTTCACTTTTTGTTCTTATAGATGTAAGGGTTACCTGTGTTGTACTGAGAAAATGGGAGGCAGGCAGACTTTGTGGGTAGAATGTCAGATAATCTATTTTTCTTTGGGTTTTAAAATGCATTCTGTTTTGTGTATATTTTCATTGCAGCCATTTTTCCTTAATTTCCTCTTTAAAGTTACTTGAAGCCCATCCTCACCCACAGTGGCCCCCCGCTAAGCACCACTCTCCCAGCCTGGCTAGCTCGATGTCTGACCAGTCCCCAGGTGTATGACGTAAGTACTGCATTTAGGTCCGTGTTCCTGCTCAACTGGTAGTCTCTTCCTTAGGAAAAACCACCACACTCCAAACTCTAGATCCATAGATTTGGCTCATCTAATAAGATGATTAGAAATGGTGTGTGTGTGCATATGTGCATGTATGTACATACGTAAGTACGTATGCATGTATTATGTGTGTTCATTTGTTTGGCACAATAATAGGGAAATCTTTTAACAGGGTTATATGGCTTCCCTTTGTAGGTAGCTGTGGTTGGGAATTCAAGTGACCAGACTGCAATTCAAGCCCTCACAGGTTACTGAAAGTGCTCTATACCCTTTTTCTTAATTGTTCTATGGGCCTACTAGTGCCACCTGGTGTGAGCATTAAATAAGGTTCATCAAGATGCACCACAAACCACAAAGCAGCACACCAAGTATTCCTTTCTAAGTAGTTTATTTATGGGTGTGGTTAGGTCCTCTCTTCCCTTTTTCTGGTGCTAGAAATGGAGTCATCACGCTTAGGAAAAGAATGGTTCTGCCATGGATGTCTCAGACTTAGGGCTGAACTTGAGTCCCCAATGTGGGTTGCAGGGCAGATAGGTAAAGAGAGCAAGCAGCTGTTTATATTCGAAGCAGTAGAAAGGAAGATAGAGCTTCCCCCTCTCCATTTCTCTCTCACCATCCCAAGATGATAGTCTTTGCCTGGAAGGAAGAGAGCGTCACAGCTGTCAAAGGCGAAAGAACAAATACTGCAGCAATATAGTTGAGGAGAGCATATCATCTCAGGGATAATGCAGGCTATCCATGGCCCATGATTAGTAATACACAAAACTGAGACCCTGAGACAGGGCTCCAAACAATCTGCAGTTGATTTCATCAGTGACAAGAAAGTAGAAGGCCAACCAAGATCTGAGGGAGAAGGGCCCTCAACAATGGGGTCAGGAAACGTGGTACACATTCAGAAAGGAGAAATAACAGAAAGGGATATGTATGCCATAGCTAGCATAGTTGGGATATCAGATAAGTGCAACCATACCAAAAGAGCCAAAATGAAAACAGGGTTCTTAGATGCCATGCTCTTCCTGGAGAACAAAGATTACAGTTATCAAAGTCATCGTGCTGCTGTGCAATGGGAGAGACCAACAGAAGCTAAGGTTCTTACTTATTCCCCTTTGAGGAAGGCTGCCATTGAAAATGTGACAGATAGGCTCTCAGCATGAGGAATTCACTTTGGATCTCCAGCACTCACATAAAAAGCTGGGCATGATGCTGCAAGTCTATTACCTCAACCCTGGAACTCACTGGCATGATGACCTAATCAATAAGCGAGCTCTAAGTTTAGTGAGAGAACTTGTCTCAAAAGATAAGGTAGGGAACAAAGATCAACCGCTGCCCTCCATGTGCAGGTGCGCGCACACATGCATCATGAATACAGGTGACAGAACTTTGTGCTTGTAAAGCAGCTGGGTTGTCTCTTTGGGAGAGTGGGTTGTGCCATGGAAGAATATAATTCTGCCTCAGTCTTTTTTCTCACATATTCACCTCCTGTGAAGAAAACAACATTCATACCCCCTTGTCTTAAAGATATCGGAGCCTCCTAGCATCCCCAGCTCTTCCTCCCATATTCAAGTGAGACTTTTGTGACCCCTGGAATAGACTACTTAAGTTATAAGAAAAAGGCCTTTGAGCATGGAGCTCAGTGGAAGAATGCCTGCTAAGTGATTATGAAACCCTGGGTTCCATTCCCAGCACTGGGGGTGAAGAAAGGGAAAAAGACTGTGAATGGGACATTTAAACCCAAAGCTTCAGCCACTTAAAATAAACCTTCTCTGCTCTGAAACCTACTAATTGCTCCCTTTCTCAGAGGTTAGGGATATTTGGAATAGTCTGACGACAGTGTAAGCTCAGTAAGGTTCCTGCAGTCACAGAAACCACGTGTCTTTCAGCACTTCAAGAGACTACTCAAGGTTTGCTCTAGGAATAATATTTGGGCTCTGGGCTCCACACACCTATCCAATCTTGAACTACCAAGACAAGAACCACCCTTGTTGCTGATGCTGTCCATTTGGGCTGAGGTTCTTTGGCCCAGCATCTTAGCTACCTCCAGATATGGCGAAGCCTCCTGTTGAGTGAAAACAGTCTTATCAATTGTATTAGCAATTGATGGATACGTATTATAAATTGAGGAATCCAAAATTGAGAAAGATAGAGGGGCTTCCTCTAGTTAGTGCCAGCTGAGAGCTGCCGACTGGGTGGCTCTCATGGCTATTTGACACCTGTTGTGTGGCTCCCTACTCATCATCTATAGGGTTTGGTTTTTGTTTTTGTTTTTTGTTTTTTGTTTTTTTTTGAGACAGGGTTTCTCTGTAGCTTTGGTTCCTGTCCTGGAACTAGCTCTTGTCGACCAGGCTGGTCTCGAACTCACAGATATCTGCCTGCCTCTGCCTCCCAAGTGCTGGGATTAAAGGCATGTGCCAGCTATTTTTAATAGGTGAAATTTATTTGGAGAGCTTTGAGGTGTTCATCATCCATTATTTACATTAACCATAACTCATTTATGTCTCAAATATACCTTGTACACATAGCTTAAACTTAATTTTATATTTATAATAATTTCATACATGAAACAATATTTGAACCATGAGACTTTTGGCATTATGTCATGATGTTATGATAAAACCTGTTGTTTTATACAATTAGTAAAAACTGTAAAAAGGTAGAGATAGTACTCAAAAAGCTTGGATTATGGCTCAATTTCGGCTTGGGAGTCTTGTACTAAAGAAGCCTTTCTCAACTAAGCATCACTTAGGAAGACAAGAAGAAAACCATGGGTGTTATCATTGAAGTGGGGAGTTCACATGCCAACTGGGGGGGGCACCCATAGTTTTGCACAGCGTGACTTAAGGAGGCTGGATAGAAGAGGTTCTGATGTCAGACCACAGGACACAAGACTTCAGAAGAGTTCGGAAGGGCTGATGGGAAATGATAGAACATCTCAGGTGTCCTGACACACTGCTTGCCATTTGAGAAAGCCTCTTCTAGTATTGGAAAGATAACAGCACAGACAGGAGCAAGGTCATGGTTTCTTTTGCCGCTGGAGAATGCTAAAGTCTGTGTGAACTCGCACTGTCTCTGGACTCTCTCCCCACTATCTGATAACTTCAAGGAGTTATGACCTTGTTAAGCCTGCCTTGTTTATTCTTATCCATTCTGAGCCTTTTTCTGAACCACTAATTTTTTCCACATCTTTTATGTGGATCAAACTAGGCTGGAGGCAACACAAATTCTAGCTCTACTTCTTGTCAGCTGGACAACTTTTTGGCACATTCCATGAGTTCTCACAGCATGGGTTTCCTCCTGCGATGCTGGTGCCCATGCCCTTTATTGGCAGGCCAGTTTATGTGACGGTTCCAGCAGGTATTTAATAAAGGCTCATTAAAGTGCATTCTCCCTAGCAATCAGTCACTTCATCCAGCTGAAGAAGTGGAGATAGTAGAGGGAAAAGAAAGAAGAAATCCCACTATGGTTCACTCCCACCCTTGCAGTCTAGGGGAAAAGCTTGCTTACATGTAAACAGTCAGTAGGAGAGAAGCAGAGCCTATTTGAAGTGTTTATTCACGACCTTCCTAGTAACATCATGTCTGCATGTGTGGGGCAGTTGAGAATGCAGCCAGCCTGCTTCCTTCTCTTAGATAATAACCCCTGAACTATCATGCATCTGAAATCTAATCTGCCTGCTTTAGGCAACATTGCTTTGATTGAAAACACCATAGTGTCTATCCAGTGACTATACCAAGGGTGTATGTAAGCAAGTTTCATAAAATCCTTAGGTTTTATTTTTTAAGATTTTTTTTTTTTTGGTTTTTCGAGACAGGGTTTCTCTGTTGCTTTGGAGCCAGTCCTGGAACTAGTTCTTGTAGACCAGGCTGGTCTCGAACTCACAGAGATCCGCCTGCCTCTGCCTCCCGAGTGCTGGGATTAAAGGCGTGCTTAATTTTTTTAATGTATGTGTATTTGGGTATTTTTAGTATATGTGTATTTATGTGCCTGGGTATATGTATGTACACATACTAAATGTGTGCAGGTACCCACTGAAGCCAGAGGGTTTTGGATCCTCTAGAACTGGAATCATAAGTAGTTGTGAACTGCCTAATTTGGGTGCTAGAAATTGGACCTGGGTCCTCTGCAAGAGCAACAAATGTTCTTAACTGCTATACTGTAGCCCCCCCCCCCCCCCCCGCCCAAAGCCTTGGTTTTCTGATATGAGGATTTGGGGTTAGGTTGCCCCAGCTTCAGAAAATCTCAGGTTCCTCTTTTATTGGTTGCAACTTTCAGAATCAAGAGCCGCTGAGAGAAGATGACTCTGATTTCATCCTGACGGAGGGTGACCTCACTTTGACCTACGGAGACAGCACTGTGACAGCAAATGGCTCCTCGAGCTCCTACACAGCCTCCACAAGTCTCGAGGGTGGTCGGAGAACAAAAAGCAGCTCGGAGGAAGTGTTTGAACGAGACCTGGGAATGGGAGATCACAAGGTTTCCAGTCGGGGTACCCCCCTTGTGTTTCCACTACAGGAAAATGCATGACTTCACCCTAAGTCCTGAAGGATCAGGGAGGCTCTCATGAGGATGAGGATGAGGATGGCCGAATGCCCCAGTGTGTTTGAGGTGTGACATTGACTGGCTTAAACTAATGCTTCTATTTCATTGGGCCCTGAAACTATCATCACTTAAAACTTAACCCAAAACTTGGATGCTGGAGCTAAAACTTCTCTAAATTAAGACAAATGCAGACCTATTCCCACTTTTTCACATAGTAGTACACTGTTTCAGAGTTCAACAAAGTAATAGCATGCTTTAATGGTTTCTCACTTCACTTCCTGCAGCATCTGACAATGGTGGGGCAGATGTGGGACAGATACGGGGCTGTAGTGCCAGTCTAGCTGGCCTTAAGGAACATTAAGTTGGGAGGATAAGTTAGACAAAAAGACGGTGAAGAAAGGAAACTGAAATCAGACTCAGTGGTGCTAGATGCTGGTGTTACACCAGACAGTAGAGCCCGTGGCTCTGAAGACTTACACAGCTGCATCCGCCTGTCAGAGTCCTAGCTGTTCCGTCTGAAGATTAGGAAGCATGTCCATAGGCTGGCATTAGCTCAATGACAGAATGCTAGAGTGCTTGCCTACAATGCACAAGACCCTGGGTTCCATCCCCAGCACGCAAAAAGTGTGTGTGTGGTGGGGAGGTTCCAAGAGCATTTCAGTATGGGGAAAAGAAGTCTAGTTCCTTCTCTGGAAATCTTTATAAAAGAGTTACTGAAATGTTTAAAACTAAAGGCAAATCATGTTCTGTTCTTTTTTAATTAATATGAGGACAGGAGGTGTTGAGAACCTGCTGACGATAGCACTGCAATACTCACTGGCTTTGAAGGCGGCTATGTGAGCCCACTGCCTGGATGGTCACTGCTATACTGAGGTATATCTACCACATGCTTTGAGAGAACATGGATACTGCTATTATCTAGAGAAGGCAGGAAGAAATGCAAGAGGCCACAGACTGTGGTTAGAGGAAAGAAATTTCATTGTGAATAATAACCTGCAAAGAAAAGATAGACATCTTCATTATTATTTTACATCAATTTCATTTTGAAACATCCAAAAGAGGTAATTCCAAAATCACACTCAACGGAATATAGAACTTGATTTGTCATAAATTATATAAATGTATATGTTCAAGTAAAGGCTGAGTTTCCAAAGCCACCTATCTTTAGGACAAAAACTTCAATATTTTTAATAATTCCTTTCCCATTGGTACTATTTTCAATACCTAGAAGATGAAAATCATTCTGATGCTTTCTCTGTGTAGTCTGGTAACTCCAGGAATCAAAGCTGACTCATCTCTTTGTATGTGAGAGGAACATCCCTGTAGCAACCTTCTCATAGTCTAGGTCTTATTGCCATGCTCCATTCTGATTTTTGAACCTTTTCTTCCAGACAGCCTGATTTGGTTTACTGTTTTCAGGAATTATCTTTGTCATACTTAGCTACGTTCAGATATAGAGGATTATGTCTGGCTCAAGTCTGAAGTAGAAGGTGAAGAGGGCGAGACTTTAGGCAGATCCATCAGGCAAACTGGAGAACTTCTGGAAGGCTATAAGGCTTACTTTGCTGTGGCCAATGACCGTGCCCCAGGATTGTCCAAATCAGACAATCAAAGGTCAAAGGTAGTCCTATTTTTAAAATGTTGCTTTAATCAACTGGCTCTTTCTTCATGGGATGCCTTTTCCTCCAATCCCAGATGAAAACTGCCTTCTGGAAAGCTTCTTCATCTAAAAATTATTTTCCTGGTGGTGAAGTAGTACCAGCATCACATGCTGTAGTGAGTAACTGCTGGAAACGCTGCTCTTTTCATCAGTTCTTTACGTTGCTGAATCTGTAACTCCAGCATCTTGAGTTTTTGAAAGTTCAGTCTTGTCATGAGGTTACATCTTCATCATTCAGATCTTCTCAGTGTGTCTTGTATAACTCGGTTATCAAGTTTTCAATGTGATTTCAATATTCTCTACTGCTTTCTTGTATTATTTTAAGCTGTTCTTGAGGTTTTACAGGGGAGGTCCCACATGTTGGCCCTGGTCAGCTCTCCAGTGTGATCTCCTCTGTCTGAGGTAACAGTTTCTGTATCATCTGCCATGTTTTGTGTTTCTTTTGTGTGTGTGGGGGGGAAGAAATTCAGCATTTTCCTTTAGAATTTGTTCCTGATGATCAATTTATAATCATCCAAGCAGTTTCCTTTTTGTTCCTGGATTCTGTTTTGCCCACTCACTGGGAGCCTATGTATGCACAATTTATAATAGCTGTAGTTGGTTTTCCTGTTCATAACAAGTTGATGGTTTCATGCTCTTGTTCTTTTTTGTGTTGTGGTTGTACTGAGTAGCTTAGCCTGCAACATTAGTTTGAAAATTCTATACCTCATCTTTCTCATATTTTAGGAGATTCTTATTCTTGCGTAATAAGCCCCTCTCTCCTGAAGTCTAGACTTCTCTCCTGGGAGATTCTAGTTGCTCCCTGAGTTGCTTAGCAGGCCTGCAGAGACCCATAGCACTTTCCAGTTTCAGATTATGTGTTTTCACATTTTTCTAAGCTACAAGGTTCTTCCTGTGAAGTACAAGCAGCTTACCCAGAGTTTAAAACAACCTATACTTAATTATCCATCTTTTTATTCTTAGATTTTTTGTATAATAAATGAAACTAAAAGTAGTCAATTCTTGATCAACATGTAGAATATTTTAGTCAATATTCTCTTCTGTGCATACTTGATAAGAAAGGCATTTGCCATTGAGAATATGTTTGATTGAGATATCTTTATTTCCGAGGTATATTGAGAGACATTTTTGCCTTCTGCCATCAGACCTGAAACTATTCCATTCATCCAGTTTTCAGAGTCAGGGTACCCAAGGAGCCCATTACAGCAATGAAAGTCTTAGAGCACCTGCTTGTCATACAGACATCTCCATCAAGGCCCCAGAGCTGCAGAGTCAATACCGTCTTCTTTAGCAGTCCTATAGGCAGCACAGGCACCAAAGGAAACAGGAAGGAGCTGCCTGCTCTTACTGCACTGTTGCTCCTGCTCTACTCAGTGAGGCCAGTTGTGCTCCATAGAAAGAAGTCTTAAGACTTAGAACGTCCGACATTGAGCTGATGCATGCTGCAATATTAGTGGCTACATGAGGAATCAGAAGAACAGCAATGGAACATAATCCAGTAGAAAATGCTGTCTTCTATAAGTTTAGGAATTCATGTGTCTCTTGAGTACTATGCAAAGAGATATCATTTTGTTTTTGGTGGAGAGGCTACTGCACCAGCTTACTATGGACATGCTTTGAAATATGGCATTTCAGTTTCACTTTTTTTCTGGATGAGTAGGGAAACTACTGAAAGAGATCTTAGAGTTTCTTTCCATGTCTTACAGTGCTAGCAATTTTGGTAACTCCATTTTTAAAAGATGTTTTTATAATGTGGTGTTTTTTTTCCTCATTCCATACAAATTAGTCCCCACAAGCACTAGGCCATCAACCTTATTAACCTTATTAACATCCCAGTCTTAGCATAATCCTGCTGTGTTCCTCTTAAAGGCTCTTACAATCTTCATTATTTTGAAAAGTAGCCCTGATCTTTGCTTGCAAAATGTGGAGACTAACCCTGCTTCCCAACAGTTCTCAAAGATGAAGCTACCTGGGTTGGAGAGATGGCTCAGTGGTTAAAAGCACTGATTGCTCTTTCAAAGGTCCTGAGTTCAATTCCCAGCAATCACATGATGGCTCACAACCATCTACAATGACATTTAGTGCCCTCTTCTGGCCTGCAAGCATACATGTAGGCAAAGGACTGTATACATAATAATAAATAAAATCTTAAAAAAAAATGATGAAGCTACCTATAGAAGTTTTGCATTGAAGTGTCGTCCCCAGGCTGAATGGAAAAAAGTAGGGGTGCCACAAAGCCCTGAAACTGCCTGCTTCAAAGGCAGCTATCTGGAAATGAGACTGGAATTATCTCAGAAAGTAATCCAAGTCATCTTCCAAACCTGTTCATTCTGAGTTGAGGGAGATGACAGCTCTGAGGACTGGAATATTCTAGATCAGGCATTCTGAACTCAGACTGCTGTTACCTTTGTCTGATCTTGAATTTAAAAAATGCAGGGCCACGGGTATGGATTAGCTGTAGAGCACTTCCTAGTATGCCAAGGCCCTGGGTTCTATTCCCAGGTACGAAAATAAAAAGGCCTGTTAAAGGCATAATACCCTCAAGATTTGGATTCTGCAGCTTCAGGGTGGGGTCTGGCATGTGTGGTTTGTTTTGAAGGTTCTAGGATACCTCCTGTATAGAAGCTTGAGCCTTTTGCATGTTTGCAAGGAACCCTTTAAAAGCTTAGTTAAAGGAATGTTTGTTTAGTAATTGTTAGTGACAAAACCGAAAGTGATTGCTAATACTGACTAGGCCTCTGGAGAACGGTCCTGCTCATTTGGCAGAATTCAGGGTGTTGTCTTCCACATGAAAACAAAGACTTGAAGGAGAGCTGAGAGTGACTTGAGTATGTGTGTAGAAGAATTTCACACTTGTCATCTTTATTAGCACTTGTGATTGGGCAAGGGAGTTTTTGTCTTTGATCTGCTGAGTAGTTCAACACAAAAGGATTATGGGAAGCTGTCCTTTCAATTCAGTATGGAATCAATAGTTCCTTTTTGTGGTCAGACTTGGTCTAGTTGGTCCACATGCCTTATCCACAGCATACGGGTCGGCCATTTACTGCCAGCAGCATGGGCAAAGGTTGTGGTGACTCTGTTGTCAGCACTGGCTCTGATAGAAGAGTTTTCATAATGCTCCCGTGGGAACGACCTGGAAAGCCTAAGCTTTCCTCGAGAAGGAATTTTGGAACTTAAAAGCGTGTGTGTTTCTTCCTACCAACCCTGTAGAAAGGGCATACCAACTCTGTCATCCAGGGTACTTCTTAGAGTGACCATGATGCCCTGGAGCCAAACAAATCATGTTATGATATCAAACGTCTCATCAAGCAAACAGCAAGGTGCACTCTGGGTTGGATCCTCTAGACCTCTAACCTTGTGGTCTAACCTTGTGGTCTAACCTTGTGGTTCCATAGAAAAATAAGATCTCTTTTGACTTAAAAGGGAAAAAAAAGGTTATCTCATCTGTATGGGAGCAGTTTCATCTAGAGCA